CTCACCGCATCAAGCTTGAAAGCCGCCGTATAAGACTTGCGACGTTGCATGATTTCTAAAATAAAAAATATAAGACGTATGGTTAAAAAACAAAAAAAAAATAGAAATAAGGAAAAAAAAATTAATGTCCATAACAAAATTTCAGGAAAAGTATTTTTAGCGATAACCGCTCTTATCTATAGAATTTTAGGGTAATTAGTTCAGAAGTCGCATTTTCTTAGATATTTTTCTGCATTCCCTTAATGGGAACGCTTTTTTACTATTTTTATTTTTGAATTTTGATTTTCGCGATTTCGAGAGAGTTTTGAAGGTTTCCGATCTGACATACGAATCTTAAACTTGGGTAATTAAACCGAGAGAACGCGCCTCTGTCTCGGTATAAGCCAAGGCCGTGTGCCAGACGCCGCTTTTTCTTACGAGCGACAAATAGGGTACGCACAAAGTACGCACATTGTGTCTGAAGCGGGTTTTTAGTTTTGAATTTTGAGTTTCACGATTTCGAGAGAGTTTTGAAGGCTTCTGGCTTTGAAGGTTTTCGGTCTGGCATACGAATCTTAAACTTGGGTAATTAAACCGAGAGCGTGGTCTCCGTCGCGGTATTGGCAAAGACCGTGTGCCAGACGCCGCTTTTTCTTACAAGCGACACATAGGGTACGCACAAAGTACGCACCAATGCCAGAAGCCGAATTTTTGGAAAAACTGCACAAAAGATAAGCACATTCGTCTCCAAAGAAAAAGAAGAGATGTGCCAGATGGCGAGTGTTTATGCGGGCACAAAGAACGTTTAGTTAGAAGAAGTTACTGGAAGGGCTACGTAAAGAAATCTTCTTGAAAAGCTTTTCATAACAAGAATTTAAAGAATAATTGTTATTATTCGCTTTCATAATGTTTATTCTTTCCTGTCCAACTTTAAAAACAAAAAAATTCTTTCAATTTCCCTATTTGACCATCAATTATCTAAAAATCACCCTCAAATTAGGCCAAAAACAGTGACTTTTTAAGGGAAATGTTTTAGCAAAAGACGTAATGAAAATTTCAATGAAGCGACTCCAGCCAATCAACTCTGGTAAAATGAAAAAACAGGCCGCCTCAACATACGTGTTTCCTGGAAGGAATGGGCCCATTCAACCACGAGCTGCGGCCACTGAATTAACCAATTTCTTCAAACAATTTGTATGATCCAACTTCACTTCGCACTCGTTGCGCGCAGGCGGAGCATCTACGGAAGCAGCACGAGGAGTACCACTAGAGGCTCTACAAGGCCGAGGAAGATGGAAGTCAAGCAGCGGCATGCGGCCATATATCAAAGATTCGATAGAAGCCCAAGGAGGCAACACATGTCTTGAGTAATGTTGGTTTTTGTATTGTAGGAATCGTTTTGTTGTTGTTTGCTGTTGTTATTGTTGTTATGATTTATATGGTTTTTTTTGTTAAGTTTTTGGTTAAATAACACTGGTTTTTGATTTTTGGTTTTTTTTAAATTGTCCAACCTCAAAATTGGTTACATTATATCGGAAAAGCTTATGAGAAAAATGATATTATGTTTATAGCGAGTAAAAACTCGCAGAGTTTGGCGAGCAAACATAATTGTTATTATTCCCTTTCATAATGTTTATTCTTTCCTGTCCAACTTTAAAAATAAAAAATTTCTTTTAATTTCCCTATTCGACCATCAATTATCCAAAATCACCTCAAATTAGGCCAAAAACAGTTACTTTTTAAGGAAAATGTTTTGGCAAAAGGCGTAATGAAAATTTCAATGAAAATTATTGAAATTGAAAGTTAAATTAAAAGTTTATTGCTATTTTTTTTCATCTCCTCAATTCGATCCTGAAATGACAACCGAAATCGTCAGCTCCCGTTTGAAAACTCGTTCGAAAATGCCTAAAATCGTTTCAACAATTTTTCGCCAACTTAGTTACCTTAACTTTTCCCACATTTAATTTATTTCTAATTTGATTTCAATTTCAAAATGCTCACAAAATTCTGAGCTTAATAGTAAAAAAATTTCCCTAATTTAGTCAAGCAGTTTTTTAATTTAAAAGCTTTTCGAAAACGCGACTTATTTTGAAATATGGCTAGATATTAAAGCTTATTTTGAATTAAATGAGATAAACTTAGTATAATTAGACGTAAAATTTGATAAAAAAGACTTTCTAGGTACTTATTGATTATCTCCGCCATCCCAAAAAGAAACCCATCATTCAGAATGAGATTTTCTTCACCCACCAGTCCACAGAGCCATCAGCAAATTTGCACAGGCTATGTCAAACGACGATTTGAAGCAGATAATCAAAAGTGATCCGACAAAGACTACACGTGAACTTGCAGAACATTTTAATTGTGTTCATAAAACAATCGAAAAACATTTGCATGAATTGGGCAAGATTGATAAAGCTGAAAAATGGATTCCACATTCACTAGGCGATGCAAACAAAGCCATCAGAGTTCTTTGAGCCATCAGAGATCAGAGCCATCAAAGATCAGAGCCATCAAAGATCAGAGCCATCCAAGATCAGAGCCATCAGGAAATTTGCTTCGAATCTCCAAGAATATTATTCGCAATTGTATGCTGTACGATTTCAAACGTGAAAAAACAGCAACTGAATCGCATGAATCACTTTGTAACGTATTTGGGAAAGATGTAATCACTGTTCATCAATGTTAAAACTGGTTTAAAAGATTTCGAAAGGGTGAGGGAAGTCTGGAAGATCTGGAACGAGGAAACCGCTCACAGGCCCGCTCAGTTCAGGATTGGTGTCAAGAATTTTCCAGACTTTATCGGATTCAACGAATGACCACCCATGTCGCCTGACCTAAATCCTCTCGACTACAGCGTCTGGGCCATATTGAAAGCTAAGGCTTGTCAAAACAGCAACTGAATCGCATAAATCACTTTGCCCACTCCGCTTCGAACTCTAATGGCAATTTTAATTGAAAGATTTCTTATATAGAAAGAAAGCTTAGAAGAAAGGTTGCACAATAAAGAAAATAATGCACAATTTATGCACAAACGCAAGCTTATTTTGAAATATGGCTAGATATTAAAGCTTATTTTGAATTAAATGAGATAAACTTAGTATGATTAGACGTAAAATTTGATTAAAAAAAGAATCTAGGTACTTATTGATTATCTCTCGCCACCCCCAAAAAAGAAACCAACTATTCAGAATGAGATTTTCTTCATCCACTCTCCCCACCAATGCTCCGCTTCGAACTCTGATGGCTTTGTTTGCATCGCTTAGTGAATTTGGAATCCATTTTTCAACTTTATCAATCTTGCTCAATTCATACAAATGGTTTTCGTGGTTTTATGAACACAATTAAAATATTCCGCAAGTTCACGCGTAGTCTTTGTCAAATCACTTTCGATTATCTACTTCAATTCGTCATTTGGCGGTGTCCTCGTTCCAGATCTTCCAGACTTCCGTCACCCTTTCCAAATCTTTTAAACAAGTTTCAACATTGATGAACAGTAATAACATCTTTCCCAAATACGCTACAAAGTCATCCTTTTGCGTTGACACAGAGTTGAAGGCGCTTCGGAAAGTCGTCGACCTTGGCACGCAAGTAGGGGAGATCCAATTCATCCCATGCAGAGCCTTCTTCAAAGAATCAAGAGTTTTGTGCGGTTTTTGACAAGCCTTAGCTTCTAATATGGCCCAGACGCAAATGCAAATTAGTACTGTCGTACTGTGGTACTGTCGTACTGTGGTACTGTCGTTCTGTGGTACTGTCGTTCTGTGGTACTGTCGTTCTGTGGTACTGTCGTTCTGTGGTACTGTCGTTCTGTGGTACTGTCGTTCTGTGGTACTGTCGTTCTGTGGTACTGTCGTTCTGTGGTACTGTCGTTCTGTGGTACTGTCGTTCTGTGGTACTGTCGTTCTGTGGTACTGTCGTTCTGTGGTACTGTCGTTCTGTGGTACTGTCGTTCTGTGGTACTGTCGTTCTGTGGTACTGTCGTTCTGTGGTACTGTCGTTCTGTGGTACTGTCGTTCTGTGGTACTGTCGTTCTGTGGTACTGTCGTTCTGTGGTACTGTCGTTCTGTGGTACTGTCGTTCTGTCGTACTGTCGTTCTGTCGTTCTGTCGTACTTTCGTACTGTCGTTCTGTCGTACTGTCGTTCTGTCGTACTTTCGTACTGTCCTCTATAACTACTGTAGCCTAGATTAATTGGCTTCTTGTTTTATCTTTATTCAAACAGGTGGGGAAACAATAATTGATGGTGATCTCGTTCTTGATTTCACTGCAGTCACTGTCACTAGAGGAGACGATGTGTGAAATGAAACAATAGTAAAGATGTTATCTGAAAGTTGTCTAAAAGTTGCCTAAATCTTTCATTTTATGCTTAGATTTGAGAAAATCTGAATTTAAAATGTTTAAAGCTTCTCGAAAAGATCCGAAAGATAGTTGGAGTTTAAAAATGAAGTTCAAACATTCTGTTGAAGAATATTTGATTTTCATCAAGAATTTCTGTTCAAGAATGTTCTATAACTGCTTTAGAACTGCTTTAGAAGCTTTAACTGCTTCTAAAGCAGCTCATAACTGCTTTAACTGCTTTAGAAGCTTAAAAGTTAAAATTTTCGATTTAAATGAAGTAATTTGTCTTTAAGAATAACCAACTTTGCTTTTTGCAGAAGAAAATTTGACTAATATGCTTGAGATATTCACGATATGGACGATAAAGAAATAAAGTAGCGATTGAATTGACAAAACCATGTTGTGACATGAAGAATGACATTATTGGACAGTATTCTGAAAGAGAGATGAAAGAGAGATGAAAGAGAGACTCTTTGATGGCTTAGCTTTTGTAAACACAGCCTTTCTAGTGCACTGAATTCGCCATTCAATGAATTCGTCATTCAATGAATTAGCCAGTCACTGAACTCGCCAGTCACTGAATTCGCCAGTCACTGAATTCGTCATTCACTTGAGGAATTGAGTGCATCGGAAGGTGTGCTTACGATTTTGAGCTCAAAGCTACATATAGCTCAAAGCTACACTGTGATCTCACTCGTTAACTGAACATCGTCAAGAAAATAGACAATGGCTCCAATGTTGAACGGGATGACGATTGTGAACATTGGAATTGAGACCTAGATTTGGAAACTAGATTTGGAAACTAGATTACTGTAAAACGAGACAAGATATAGAGAAAAGCTATCAGACAAGATATCAGACAAGATATAGAGACAAGATTACGGTAGAAAGAGGGTTTAGAAAACGGATTAAAGTCACCTGGATGATCAACGCTTTTATCAGTTTTCTCTCTTTGTCCATCGAACTTTTCCCAATGAATTTCTCTTGAATTCTCAACGATTCAAAGCTTAACGTGGCCAAGACTAAAAACTCTTGTACATTTTTTACTTCTTTCTTAAATTTTCCACAACATACAAGTCATTGAGAACAAGTTGAATAGCTGATATCCGATCACGTTCAGTAGAACGAATCTACCCATGCTTGGGGTGAAAGCATAGAAGTCGCTGAGCATTATATATTGCTTGAAGTATGGATAAACCTAAATCTTTCAAGTTACGTCCTGGTTTTACCTGGCTTATCTGTTATGACTTCTCAAAGTACCTGGACTCTGTACCTGAACCTGAAATAGCCAGGTACCTGAACCTGGAATAGCCAGGTACTTGAACCTGGAATAGCCAGGTACCTGAACCTGGAATAGCCAGGTACCTGAACCTGAACTGTGCCTGTGTCCTGGCTTCATTATAACTCAAACAATTGCCAAACGAAACAAACCCAGCTTTGCTTTTGTTTTATTCAAAAAGCCTATCCAGAAAATCTTTTCGTTCCTTTTCGTAATCAACAAATGAACGAATTGAGCTATGATTTAACAATAACAATAACTTTTACAATAACTTTTACAATAAATACTAGATCAATTAGCAATTGGACCATAGATTAATTAGTGGATTTGTTATTTTTCAAAAGGAAGAACGAAAAGGAATAAAAAGATTTTCTGGAAAAGTCTTCTGGCTGAGGCTTTTATGATTTTTGACCTGAATCCAGCTCCTAACATTGTCCAGCTCCAGCTCCAGCTCTTGCCTAACCTCAGATTAAAATATCCCTGACTCCGGCAGGTCTTGGTTTTACCTGGCTATTCAGTTATGGCTTCTTAAAGTACCTGGACTATGTACTTTAAACTGGACTGTACCTGAGTCCTGGCTTCATTTGACTACAATTAGTCAAGTCCAGGGCTGTTCAGAGGCCATTTTTTCAGGCAAAGCAGAAACCAGACTAAAATGCAGTCAGGCTTTGGTCTTAGTAAAGCCTTGATCAGGCTTCAAAGTACTTGGACCAAGGCTTTACAGAGGCCTGGACCTGGACCTCAGTTTAAACGGCTTTACTAAGGCCTGGGGCTGTCAGGTACCATGTTTAAACCTGCTTCTAACTTTCTCTAGCCTCTTAGAACCTAGAAGCTAAAATGTTAACTGTTAGAGAATATTTTTAGATTAGATTTTATCAAATTTTTACCGTTAAATAATAATCTCTAATATCGTTGAGATTTTGTTCGGTTGAAATGAAAGAGAAAACCCAAGAAATGTGAACATATGGAGTGATGTGGATGAGGAAATAAATTGGGTAACGGACTCTGGAAATTCTTGGTTTAAAGGAGTACACACTTGAAAGCTTTGAAGGAACGAGTAGTGCGTTAAGTAAGGCTTTGATAGTACATGAGTACCAAGGCTTTACAGAGGCCTGGACCTGGACCTGGACCTGGACCTGGACCTGGACCTGGACCTGGACCTGGACCTAGACCTGGACCTGGACCTAGACTTGGACCTGGACCTAGACCTGGAGCTGGGCCTGGAGCTGGGCCTGAACCTGGACCTAGACCTGGATTTGGACCTGGATCTGGACCTTGGCCTGAGCCTAGACCTGAGCCTGAACCTGGACCTAGACCTGGACCTGGACCTGAACCTAGACCTAGACCTGGACCTGGACCTAGTCTTGCTAATTTCGTAACATGAGTACATGTACTATCGTAACATGAGTACATGTACTATCGTAACATGAGTACATGTACTAACGAAACCTGAGTACATGTACTATCAAAGCATGAATACATGTACCATCGTAACATGAGTACATGTACTATCGTAACATGAGTACATGTACTATCGTAACATGAAGAAAAGGCGGTAAGAAGTGTTACTGGATGAGATATTATTAAAATTATAGCAAACTTTTAACTTTTTCTTCTACTGATTTCAAGTTTTGGTCTCTTCAGAGTGATTCTTTTTACAGGGTGCGGCATAAGTATGGTTACAAGGTTGTAACATTGATTTAAGAAACTGATTGATTTTTATTTCTTGCCAAAGGATTATTTTTTCTTAATTTGAATGCTTTTTTATATTATGTAGCAGTTTTTAAGCAAATTTTTAGGTTTGGACATAATGGTGAAGGCTTCTTCCAACCGTGCCGCTATTCTTCAGCTTGGAGCACAAGGACGATCAACTTCGGATTTTGCCAAACTGCTGAAAATGC